CCCCCCCCCCCCCCCCCCCCCACCGCGTGGCAGGTCGCACTGATGTTCTGTCTGACTGAGGAACGAGATCCTTGGCCCCGTTTTTCTGCCACATTAGGCCCACACTGAAGGTGGCACTCAACTCCCCCACTGAGGAAAGAGTGTGTGTGTGTGTGTGTGTGTGTGTGTGTGTGTGTGTGTGTGTGTGTGTGTGTGTGTGTGCGCGCGATGTTAAGGAAAACTGATGTGGAAAACTATGTGAGTAATGAAGGTACAGGCTGGTGTGTGTATGTAGATATTAGCTGATGTGAACAGAGAAAGACAGAGAAAGTGGAAGGAGTGTATTTGTTGCTAAGGGAACCACAGCTGTAAATCGCAGCCTATTTTCCTTTTGTGTCAGGTGATGTAGATTATGTTGTTTCCCCACTCAGGCTCACAGGATGAGGAAATTATAGGCTCTGACTCACTGTTGGCTTCTTAGTCCTGCCACATCACTGCCGTCTTATCACGAACCAGAACGAGCGAGGGAGAGAAACCTGACAATGCGGGAGGAGGAGGGTGAGGAGGCAGGGTGGTTAAAGGGAGGAGAGACAGGGGAGGATTGAAAGGCCAGAGTCTGAAGAGTCAGACATAAAAAAGATGGGAAGGGAACGGGAGGAAACTTGAGTTAACAGAATGGGGATGGGAGGAGAGAGAACAAAGGGGGAGGCGATGGGGGAGGAAGCCGGAGGGAGGGAGAAAAAGCCGGGCCGTGTGCCAGGGTCTATTCCACCTTTGCTCTCCAGGCCTTTCTGAGCTGCCACCTTCTCTCACCTCTGTAATGTCATCAATGAAAAGGTCTTTAGGAGGGACGGAGGACTTGACACGGGGTTCAGACTGTGACCGACACCAGCTGACGCTGCCAAGCCAAGCAGGATTCTGTAAGAATTAATTGGATGTCACTTTCAGGTACAGCGTACAAGGCAGGTTTTTTTTTTACATTTGTGTGACTCATGCTCCTACAGAACTAGGAAAATTCAACATTTGGACTGATGAATAATCTGAAAACAAGGCTGTTTTTCTCTATACCTGAAAAGTCGACTACGAGGAGGTCCATGATTTTTTTTGTCAGTGTGATTTAAAGAAAGATAATCCGTTGATTTTGAAAGACTTTGGTGATAGTGTTCTATACTGCCCCAACATACACTGCATTAAGACTCTGCTGTCGTTGCCTTTTCTTCAGACTTACCAATTAATAATTTATTCTGTAAATAAGTTAGAAGAAACAAAAAAAGCAAAACAAATGCTGGTCTCCATTGATGTCTTGCTTTGTTCCATCAACAGTCCACAGCCCAAAGTTATAGTAACACTTTATAATAACTACACACTATGAAGCATTAGTTAAGTATGAGTAAACACTTAATTCATCATTTATAAAGCATTGTTCCTACATTAACACTCATTAGTATACAATTTATAACAGTTATAAATGTTTTATTCTTGATTAATAAGCTTGTTTATCTGTTTCGTGATTGTGTTTTCATACTTTATAAATGATGGATTCCCCATTTGTAAATTAAGTATTAAAGATATTACAAACCAATTATTAAGGAGTTGTAGGTGATTAATAACATCATTTATAAAGTGTAAGTAAATGATTAAGAACTTATTTAGATGTACATTATTCATGCATTTATATATATAATGATTTAGATATGCACTAATGGTTAGGGACTATGTTAATATATGCTTTATAAACGCATATTAACACTGCAATTCATGATTAATTCAGGTAGTTACTAATCATTAGTAAAGTATTTTGTGTGACCTCATCTAAAGTGAGGACTATCTATGCCTTACGAAGCATTTATAAATTACATTGAAAGGCCATCAGTGCCTCAAAAGTAACTAGTCTACCTGATGTCTACCTAATGTAGGAACAATGCTTTATAAATTATGAATTAAGTGTTTACTCAACTAATGCTTCATAGTGTGTAGTTATTATAAAGTGTTACCCAAACTTGCAAATGTTGGTTATTTTAGTTTGATGAATGACTGAAACAATAAATTGATCGTCAAAATCATTGCAGATTTTTGAAATACGTAATAAGTAGCAAGGGAGACTATCCTTAAATTTTGGATTCCTTAAAAATTCTCCCTCAGTGAAAGACTGCTATGACGAAGTTTGTGGAGAAATTGTCACACACACCCTACATCTATCAACATATGGCAACCAGTTAAGTTAGAGCCGCAGTGGACCCCTCTGAGGACTTACAGCTTACACTTTAGTATTTCATAAGATAACTCACTTTTACGCTTGTGATCATTTTGTTACTTCTCTTTTTTCTTTTTTTTTTTTGCTAAGGGTGAATATCTTTGTAACATAAATTGACCTCTGAGCGTCCGGGGTCACACTGAGTCTTCTGAAGGTGTGGAGAAGGTGTGGAGAATCCACCCACTCTGTTCATGCTGTCCCCGTCATGCTGAGCTGCACTGAGTCGGGGCTCGACTAATGTGCTCTTGGACGGGATTGATCGCTCAAGCATAAAGTAAACAACATGAGGCTAAAAAGTTCAGACGACTTCTCTTCCCCTTGTCCGTCTCGCCAGTTGTTAAAGAGAAGTACATTCACCTCGGAGGTGACCCGTCATGTAACCCTTAGAGCTTGATTATGCGGCGCTGCAACTCCTTCAAACAAAAGTGCTGAAAGTTAGTCACTGCTGACTTTTCGCAACACCTCGTAATCCTTCTTTCTGTTCCATTCCCCAAAAAAAGCTTCCGGCTGGCACATTCGGAGCAACAATATGTGCGTTCATACACATGGACACACACACCACAAGCTGCGAGCACGTCGACCGCCTTTTCCAACTGTGAGAGTATTTCACAGCCCCGATGAGGGCTGTAATGTGCAATATGCTCACTTGTTCAGTCACCCTCTCTCTGTCTTTTTTTCGGCCCTTAATCTCTCTCCTTTCCCTCTCACTCTATGCATCCTTCACCCTGGCATCTGTTGATGTCGTTCTAGCTACCGGGGCCTCAATCTATCAAAAAGGCCCACTCTGCTGCCACTCTGTTGCCATCTCCTGGTGATTCATTTATGCTCTACAGGTGGCATGAAGCTCAGGGACTAAGTCCTTAATTGCCACTAGAGTAAAGAGCATTAAAGGTTGGCAGAGTGGTGGAAAAGATCCACCACTCTGTAACACTGTGTATTAAATGTAAATGTGGTGAGAAGTGGCCGGAGTATCGGCCGGAGAGATCGGTAGCAAATCAGTTGATAAAACAGTCTGCATTGTATGTTGTGAAAGACTTGGTGAAGTTAGTGGTGAATCCAATTGGTTGCTTCATGGCACAAACACAGGTTGTTTCCAGCATTAAACTGTGACGCTGTGCTGTTCTTACTGTGCAAAGGGAGCGACTGATCGAAAACTGATGTAAAATGAATGTCCAGCATGGTCATCCGCTGCATTAAAGCCAAGGGGAGAACAATCAGAGAGATTGAGCTGTGTCAACATTCTCTTGGGTTATGTATCAATAAAGAATATGAGGCTACCAATTAAACCAAAGAGTAAGCACATCAATGGTTATGTCGATATTAATGTCACGTATTACATTTGTGTGAGTTTGGTAATTTACTTTAAAATGATGAAACCCACGTAAACATAGTTACACAACATGGTCAGATAATGTGAGTGACAGCAATAGGCAATATGTAAGTATGCAGGAAACAGTTTCTACATAGGGCTTCTTTTTTCATTACGTTTTTATTTATTTATTTATTTATTTTTTGGCAAAGAGTAACTTGACGACAGGCAGAAAAAGTAGTGTTTTACTGCCCTCTCAGATTGAAAGTTTCAAGGCTGTTCCACCTCTGACCACAGCCTGCCCCACTGATGGGTCACGGGTTTATAGATGGATGGTGTCATATTCAGTGTATTTACTGTGCAGCCCCTTTGATGTAAAATAGTGATTTTGGGGGCCACACAAATAAATCCGCCTTGACTTGAACAGGTGAAGGGGAAAAAAATGCTGAGACCAGACAGACACAATGTTAAACACTTCTAGTCTGTAGTGTGGCTCAAGCTCCATAAAATGCTGGCTTGTACATTTACCAATCGTGCAACTCCATAGCATCTTTCATTTTATACTTCTGTCTCTGAGATTTTTATTTTTGAAAGCTCTCTCCATAGTAACAGAAGACGTTATACAACTGTTTTCCCAGGCCGTACTAATCTCAAGATAACCCATTGATAATGTCAATGCACTGAAGTACAGATAATTAACACAAAAGCAACATTCCTCCATAAAGACATACATAATATATATAGATGGATAAAATATACAGATAATAAAGTTTATGCCCCTTTTGGTCGTCTTAACCTTTAAGTGGTGAGAATGTGAAATACTAGATCCACTGTATGTGTCCCCTACAGATACACTATGTTGAGTGTTAGTAGGAAACTGTCAGTTTTGTGCTGGGTGAATACCAGGGGTGTACTTTCCCTGTACGTAAGTTAAGTAAAGTAAAGTAAAAAAAAAAGTGTTCCCCAAAGGCAGACTGTGTGCAGACTGAAATCACAATACACTAGAGGAAAGCATCAATGTCTCACCTCAATTAGTTCCTACAGTGATCTTTGCTCCATAAAGTTATCCATACTTCTTTATTTTGTGTAGTAGCAGTATGTGCAGTTTGTTTTTGTTACAACACGGCATGTGGCAAACTGTAATGTTTTCCACTGAACGTGTTGTGCTGTATGGTGGCGTTGGAAACGTCTATATAATGATGTACAGAGAATGACTCAATTCCTTCATGCGCTCATAGCTTAACAGGTAAATTGACCTTCAGGTCAACCTCCCAAAAAACTCACTGCATTACCTTACCTGAACAGATTAGGGAAGTAGAATATTACACAGCAAAATAAAAATAAATAAAACCTGTGAAGTTGAAATTAAGGGAGCGATTGTGTTTTTCAGGTCTTTGCCGATTCAATATTCCACTTGGTGAGGGAGAAGTACCGGTCGCTGGTGGGCGGCTGCAGTCCTGCGCACGCTCGACACAAATCCCTGGCAGGCATCGTAATGACCCGAGGTATGGCAAATTTCATTGACTTTTTATATATCACTTTGAATTATTGAAGTGGTGCAATATAGAGAGAGTGAGTGAGGGAGGTAAAAAAAGAAAGAAAAGTGAGATAGGGGAGAGAGAAATGATAAACTCAATGTGGGAGGAGAGAGAGAGAGAGTCTCGAATCCTTGCTGTACATTGCACTCCTTGCATACCTTCCTGATGAATTATTGACTATTCAGAGTCTCTGAGGAGAATGCGACACGGTAGTGAGTGTCAGTCATCCCCACTGCATGTCGGCCTTGCTGTGCTCAGGCAGCTCTGACAGGAGTTCCAGATGCCACAGTGGAAGTCTTAACTAGATCAGCTCAAAACTTAATCTGAAACCCGACTGAGTGACACACTTAAGGAACAGTGAGGAGGAGGAGGAGGAGGAGGAGGAGGAGGAGGAAGAAGAAGAAGAAGAAGCTTCCCACTGCTGTTCTCCTGCAGCGTGAAATAATGACTTATTGCCACACGTTCATCTTTCATGAGTGGTGTTTGTTGCGCGAGACATCAGGGCCTCCCACGCACACACACGTGCACACATATACACACACGTACACACTGACCCATACAGTACAGAGAAACCTTGACTCACTCCACAATATGTGCACTGATGCTCACATACAGTAAAGCCCAGAATCGTCTCGTGTGAAATTTGTACAAAACAAGCTTTTTATCTGTTTATGAAGCATTGGTGAACATTTGAAGTTGACTTTTTAGCTTTGTGATCGTTCAACTCGTGTACAATGTAGCACAGTGGAGCCATTTATCACTAAAATAAAAAACTTCTGTCGGCACTTATTTAAATGGTATAAAAAAATTATAGTATGTCAAATGTATTCTACAACTTGTACAACTCACTCATTGATGTCAAACTGAATTAAATAACTATAGAATTAAGAATAATTAAGAAGTAGTTTTTGTAAGCAAAAAATGGAAACATGCTATTGGCCTTAACCTATTTTTAGCTGTTAGTTATTTTAACCTAGTTCTGGTTTTTAGAACATGTTATTAGCTAGCTTAGCTGTTAGCGGTTGCTATTATACGTTGGTGAAAGCTGGCTCATCCTGATATTAGCTGTTTTTGATAGTTGTTTGCTTTTAGCTGGGGATGTTTTAGACAGAAGTGCATGTTTTGTTGCTTGCTAAGGCGAGGTAGCTGAGGAGGATTGTTTGGCGTGTTTGGTGGGCTAGGCTATCGTTGATCGCAACATTCCTTGTAGCTTAACGTGTTAGCTAACATGTTATTAGGCGAGGATGTTAGCTGGTAATGTTCTAAACAGATTTTAGTGAATACATTAAATTCACTAACCAATGAATTTAGCAAAACAGACGAAGCAGCTTTGCTAGCTAGAAAGACATACAGTCTAAGTAATGCTACAAAACATGGAGTCTTCATTCCTTGTGGGATATAATACAAAAAAGGACCATTCACACACAAATGCTCACAGGTCTGCACATGTGGAGTCCTGACACACACACACACACACACACAAGTCCATGCACACACTCACACACACACAAGTCCATGCACACACTCACAGATGAGTGTTATCTCCTTGTGTGGCTGCAGCCTGTGTGGGTGCAGGGGGTCAGTGAGGAGGGATTGGTATCTCTGCTGTCTTTGGAGGGCTGCAGCTCATCAGTTTATACTTCAGTGAGACCGGCACTCATCCTGACCTAATCCAATCCCTCTCCTCTCCTCTGCCTCCCAGTAATTGCTTCTGTTTGTTTATTAATAGCGCGCGTTATCTTCAGAGATCCAGACGTAGGGTTGCCAAGTATTTGCAGTGGCGCGACAGCAGCAGCAGCAGCAGTAGTGCTGTGGTAGCCAGCGTCCATGCAGTCAGACACCAAACTTGACAGGAACACTGGGGAGTCCTGTTCTGTTTCTCTCTCTCTCCCCCACCCTCTCTCTCTTTCTGTGTCTCATGCCTCTGCTTTTGCCTCAAGAATATTAATCAGAGTCCATCTTTGAACCACAGACAGACAGCGAACCCCCCACCCCACCCTTGCTGGAGCCCCGCCGAGACAGTTGAGCCCCAACCTGAGTGAGATTAGCCTCGCCACCAGGCTGAGAGTTGCGAGACGACCGGCAAAATAAATCGCCAGCACACATTGTCAAATAGTGTGGAAAATCTCATTTGAATCGATCTGAGATAGCATTGGGGTGTTTGGAGATGGTAAACAGTGTTCAGATGTGCTCAGAGACATGAAAAATTGCAAACGTCCAAATGGAAAAATGCTTAAAAAGACCCCCCTCCCTTCCTTCCTTCTCCTTTTTTTCCACTTGTTTGTTGGATGGGATGAGAGAAGCTTCTTCTGAGGCTTTTTTTTTTATTCAGCAGGGTGATGAGACTCGGAGTGGAGAAAAATACCACAGGGACTCAAAGAAAGAGATGAGAGCAAAGGGTTTCAAACAAGTTGATTACAAATGACGACTAAGCTGTGGTTCTTAGTCTGCATATCCACTTTCAAACAGGGATTTTTCTCCAGTCTTTATCTGGTTTTCCGGCTGCCGCAAATTTTAATGTTCAATAATCACATCCGGCAACGAAACAGCTTGCTAAGAGGCAAAGAAATTAACAGAGATGTGCCCAGGGTGTGTTGAAGCAGAGAGAGAGAGAGAGAGAGATTTGAGAGCTTCAGCAGCATTTCACAAAGACATCCTTATATGTTCAGAGCAGTTGTCTGTTAAAGCTAATACAGATTCAACAGGGTGCAGTCTCTGCTCTTGCCAAGTTCTTTTTTTTTTTTTTTTTCTCAGCAAGTGTAGAGCATTTCAGAGATTTTCTGTTATTCACACGACACGCATTGAATGACATTCAGTGTAATCATGCAACATCTTGTGGTGAAAGAACACATAAAAGAAAGGATTTGTGGAGCTCAACTTAAATGGCTTAAAATAAAGTTCATGAAAACGTGACCTTCAGAGCTCATTCTGCTTCAGAAGAATGTTTTGATATCTGCTTTATGGTGCTCAGAGATAATGGGGGGGGGGGCTTATAAGATACTATTTCACACTGTTTTATAATCATAGAGAATAAATGCATTCAGATAATAGCTTTGCTGTGACTGTCGATTGCAGTTGCCTTGTGTAATAATAATAGATCACTGTAAATAAAATTCATGGTCAAGCATACATATGGATTTCTCTTTTTGACTCAAGTGGTTCTTAGTTATGATTGCCATGAAGGTCTTCTTAGTAATTTGTCCTCACCTGTTTGCTGAGGCTGTATTCATAATATCTTGTAGATTTATGCATCAGTTTATCATGAATATACAACATTATAAAAAAACACTATGTTACAAGTAGAAGTCCTGCATTCCAAATGTTATACAGCAAATGAATAAAAGAAAGCGTTCTGTATTGACGGTAAAATGGCGGTAGGGTGCAGGATGTCCCGTGTCGTGCTAGTGACTGTTCTCTTTGACCAGTCAGTGGTCTGCATGTTTTTCCTCCACCATCTTCTCAGCTCGCTTGTAACCTCGTCGGATGTGGTACCAAAAACAGTACCGGGTACTATCATCAACAAGCAAATGGTAAACCAAAAAAAAACCGAGTTTAGTAGAGCGGTGCTGTACAATTGAGAGGAAATGCATCATTACACTGACCCAAGGAAGTGGCCTCAGAAGTGGCCTTGATCCCTGTGTGCTGCACTGTGGCTGCCCACTGCTACTAAATTGGTAGGATGACTCCATTGCAAAGGACACATTTTCTCAAGAAGAAAAAAGATCTACAACTTGACCATAGAAGAATGTAGAGTATACATTATTGGGAGAGAGGGTTGTGTGACAGACGAGGATGGTATGGACACCCCTAGGTGACTTCGAGCCGTCACTGCTTCACCGCCCTTTTTCCGGTGAGAGCAACAGCCCCTCGAAATGTATGCGTACGTCCCTGTTGGGTTGGGATTCCTGTCTATTTTTAGTGGATCTCCACAAGTGTGGATAATTAATGTCCTCATTAGCATTCCGTTGGTACACTACTTGTTACAGTGTGTTTCATGCCATTAATACACCCTAAAATTGTAATCATCATGATCTAAATCAAACTGAGTTTTCTCTCCTATAAAAGATAAGGGAACCGTTTGGTCCAGCATTGCTTTAGTATCGTATGTGACAAATTAAAGGGGCACTCATTTTTAGACACTATGAGCAATTAATGTGTTCTGTTGCTGTCCACGGGGGCTTTTCAGTGTTTGAAAAAAATATTCCTGATGACGTCATCAATTCAATAAAAATGCACACTACCAAATTCGTTAAACCTGTGCTTACGTCATAGGTTCTGTCATAATAATTTTGAGCGTCACATCCTCCGCAAAATGACAAGTTCTACTAGCAGGAGGCCAGACTTCATAGCTGGAGGGGAGAAGGAGGACAATTGCTTTGAGAGGGAACTGTCTGTAGAAGACTGAAAATATGAAGTCAAATATTACTATTACTGCTCTGAACTTATTACAGTTTCTTATTTATGCTTGGCATTGTTGGTTCCTCCATTATTGCTATATTCTCAAACTCCTTAAGAAATGATCTGTCTTGCACTTAAAAGCGTATCCCACAGAATGTATATATTCTAATGTGTCACACTTTAGTGGTGAAACAGTTAAATCAATATTTCCGCATACAGCCAGTGTTACTACAGCCACCTTGGCCAGTAGTGGGATGCAGCCTGGTGGCGAGAGGCCATCTTGCCAACATGCAGACAGAGCAAGTGGAGAACCAGTGTGGTGTGGTGGAAGTAATGAAACATGCAGAAACACTGAAGTAACACATTTTGTGTTGCTGTCTGATAAATATGATGACACTGGTGAAAAAAAGAAACTGGTTCAGCAAAAATATTTACAGTCTTTACTTCTCAGAGCAGAAACCAATGAATGGTTGTGAAGCCCGGCTTTGTTAAAGGAGACACTGGGTCCTATTTACGTGACTCAGTGACACGCGGCACAAAAAGGCAATCAGTGGCACACAGTGCAGGTGTGCAGGGCATAGTTATGTGACACAGTTGGAAGCAGGGGAAGATTATATTTAGTCAGAAGTGTTGGCATCATTCATGACCGACGGAATGACCCTCCCTTCCTTTTTTTTAAAAGCAGCATGTCTTTGCCACAGCACTCAAGCATGGATGGAGCGGTGTGGACTGGATCTGCCACAAAAGCCTCTCTCAAGAGGAAACCAGAATCCCCACGACTGATTTGAATGTTGATGCAAATAAGTTTAACTCGCCAACTTAGCCTCAAATAATAGTATCTTGAATATGATTTTTTTTTTTTGTGTGTCAATCACTTGAATTTGAGTGCAATTTGCTCACACTTTTGACTTTGGTCGGCCGGCAATGCCTGAACAAATTCCCTTTGATAATTGACAAGGAAATTGCACTCATTTGCTTGATTGTTACCACACCCCCTAACTTACTTCCTCCCTCCACTTAGGTGCAGCTGAGTTCAGGGGCAGCCATCAGACGTCTGTGTTAAATAAATGCCCATGAGCACCTCTGCTCCATGTGCTGTCACAAAGTGCGTTTGTCTGCTTAGTTGCCATAGTGAGGCGGCGTGTGTGCTTCGTCTCCCTGCTAAAGGCCGTTGACAGTATTGTGCGCTGAACAGTATAGTGCAGTTGCCATAGTGAGTAGTTCCAGGTCTTCGTCTGTGATGTACATACTTTTTGACAGTGCTGTTATCGCGGGGTGTGACATCTTTGAATCACCAGTAACAGATGTATTTGTGTGAAGAGTGCCTCAGGCCTTTGACTCCACTCTACCTTGTTCCTTTTGACCCTCTCTTTTTGTGTTTCTGTGATGCAGCTGATTATTCCTGGTTTAAAAACAGCACACTGCCTGTGGGGCTCTCTATCTCCTCGATGTGTGTCTCTCTTTCTACCTCTCTCGCTCTCTCTCTCTCTTCCATTCATCTCCCCCCCCCCCCGCTCTCTCCTCTCTCCTGCAAACTGAAGGCAACCTCGGTGCCAATTTCATGGCAGGGTAGTGAGCGGCGCAGCAGAAATTATCCACTGCAAAATTGATCTAAACAATCGCAAAGTGGAACGGCAAGGGAAAGCAGGAGAATGAAATTGGTTGAGTCTGTTACCTTTTAGGACTTGCTTTATCACCGAGAAGGAATTGGGGTGCATTGCTTACAGGGAATGCCAATAGTTGAACTCATGATATAGAGATTTTTTTGGTGCCGCGCTGTCATGAATATTGTATGTTTTCTGTGCAGCAGCACAGTAGGTTTAACTTTAATAATTTACTACTACTCCGTGAGTGATATTTACAACAAAAGCTACTGAAAGATGTTTCACGTTTAGTCTTAAGTGTTGATAGAAATCATTATCTCACTGTCGACATGTTTGATTAATCACTGCACACATCGGCATTAGCACAGGATGATGTGTTTCTGAAGCTGTGTTTGGAGAATATACATAATTCTGTTAATGACCTGTTTGCACCCCAACAAAGGTGTGATGCTAGTAAAGTGTATGTGAATAAATGTATGATTAATGACTCACTACAGGGAGCAGTGAACACCAACCATTGTTATTTACAACAGCAGCGTTTACTTCTTCTGAACTCGGTGTCCTAAATTGTTGCTTTGAAGCCTGTTTAAACATTTGATTTATAAAAGGGATAGATCCAAGTCCTGAAAACAAATCTGGCAGGAGGACTCTTAACATTTCTATCACTGGCAGTCTCTGTTGTTGGTACACTTTTACTCAGAATGAAGGATACCGATCCAACATAGTGATAAAATCATTTTTTAAAGCCGCTAAAAGCAATATTTTTATATTAATAATGGATCCCATGACTACTTGTATATGAAAGATGTCACTGGTACTGATGCACCAGTGGATAATAATCACCTGCCTCTGCAGTCTCCTCAACTCTATGGAGCACTGTAGCCTCTTTCAGCTTATTGTTTTGGTTTTTCAGGCCCGCAACTCTGCTGCTTTGGTTCACTCTCAGCGCTCTCAACAGAAGCTTAGTTACAAAGCTAGCAGCTAGCTGATTATCATAGTGGAGCATTCAGCAGCTAAAGAGCCGGATATTTCCCTCAGGAGTTGGTGGAAACCAAAAGCAGAGCTGAAGGTAGAGTGAATATTGGACTTACATTCACCAAGTGTCCAAAACACGACTCCATATGAAGAATGATGTGCTCTGTGTCTACCTCATGGGTCTGTTTGCTAACAACAACAAATATATATGTCAGGTTTATGAATTACTAACATAATAACTTATTAATGTGAAGAAAAAGTTTGATTCATTTTGTGTGTCAATGACTTGAAACATGGAGAAGTTAGGCAAATCTGTCCACTATTCTTTAAAATAAAATGTATTTAAGTCTACTGGCAAAAATAGGATACAAAACTATAAATTAACTAAACAATAATGTTTACTTTGATTCTGTTACACCAAAATGGTACAGTACATTAATTTTAAAAGTCCATACAACATAGTATCAAAGATAAATAATTTAAAGTTCTCCGCTGTAGTTGGTAGAGTAAAAGTTGAACTTATTCCGCCTTACCTTAGACTTTCCTTTCTTCTCTATGCTCTTTTTTTCTGCCCACACACACACCACACACACATTCCCCGCTCCCTTAACGTTTGCCTCCTTTGCCCTGCTTCCTATTCCTCATCATTGGAGGTGTCAGGACTCCACCGCCGCAGTGCCATCTGGGCCGAGGCTGATAAAAGCTCATGTGCCGGGCCGGCGGTGCCTGCAGGTCTGCCAGAAGCCAGCGAAGCCTGACTTTGAGAAGGCGATGGGAGAGATTTGTGGCAGCCAAGGAAGGAATGGCATGCCTTTAACGTGCTGATCCAGCCTCTACCCCCTCTGCACCACCTCTGTCTATCTGTCAGTCAGTGGGGCTCTCACATGGCCCTGCACTGGCCTGAATCCTCACTGCGAAAAGTGTCTTTTTCTCTAAGGAAAAACCAACACATCACAGGACGACTTTGTGATCTGTGATCTCTCTCATAGCTTGTACTTCATGTCTCACGTTGAGAATGTCGCTTCAGTGACCTCTTTAGAAGCTTCTATCACGCTGTCCGGACACAACGGGATGGAACCAAGCGTCAGGCACAACACCTATGCTCATTGAATGTTTCCTCTAGCTAGGTATTTTAAGTAGAATAAACCAACTTAAAATGGACGTTTCCATAAAAGCAAAAGAGAAAACACTCCCTCTTTCCCAATAATTAGAAATACCTCAGGTCAGTCAGTCCTTCTGGAACATTTCATGGCCTCAATCTTTAGTGTAGCTGTCACATACTGTAGATGCAAAACAGTTGAAAAAAGCGTATGTATAATTCTATGACACGGAATGTCATTCACTCTTGTGGGTCAATGCTAGACATGTGACAAACACTCATTTATGTCGTTTTAGGTCACCGTTTCCCGTGGGTCCATGGTATATATAGAAAATATATTGTTTTTTTCCAGCAGGCAGGCCCATGGAGTGACCAACCTGCCTCCAGTTCCACTCAGATAGAAGAAGCATGAGGGCCGATAGCCTCCTTTAACGTGGAGAGCAAGCCTGGCTCTCTGCTGGGTTTTCTATGCCTTTTGATTGGCTCACTTCAATTAATGTTATGGATGCCTCTATCTGTATCCCAGTATACCATCCACAGAGGACTCACCAGGTTTGCCTCCCAGAGGATGAATCAGCATCTAGTCCTCCAAAGGGGTTTGTAAAATACACTGAGGCAGTAGAATAACCGCTCATTTGGCTTCTACTCTTCCCTTCTCTCTGTCAAAAAAGATAGATCTAATCTCAGCACAAATTCTCCACATGTTTATATCTTTTAAAATATTCTGCTTCAATCCATATTTGTTGGTGTTTAGCCTTTGTAAAAAACAATTTACCTGCAGTCAACAAACTCGAGGAGTGACGATGGGTCGATCTGACTATGGAGTCGATGGGCCAGCTGTAGTGCCAGCCCAGTTTATAGGTGGAGGGTCTCTCCCCTGCTTCACTCCTTGGATCCAGCTAATCCTGGCTGCTGTGGTGTGATAGGAGCTTCTGAAGAGACACTTACCCATGCTACTCAGAGAACTGTGGTTATGGAAATAACCCAAAATTGTCTGTCAGAATGACCTCTTCTTATGTTTCTTTTTTTTGTTTTCGTTTCACTGTCTGATGAAGTTGGAGACTAACTTCAGTCTGAGCTCTATTTTTCCACCCATTGCTGTTAATGCATTGTATTCTCTTTACTCTATTTTAGTTTGACTTATATTTTCTCATCAATTCCTGCCTTTTATGCTACTTTACTCTAAAAATACTTGCCATGACATGAAAATGTTTTATGCAAAGTAGTGTTATGCAGTGTGCAAAATACCCGGTGGCAACCCACCCACCTAGTGCTCCAGTATTATTCTGAAATCCTACACTGACTCAATACGCAATATACAAGATTCTGTGGATGCAAGCCAAGGCAACTAGGCTGTAAACACTTTGCAAAAATATCACTGCGGCTAATGTCGTTGATAATAAGGCCTCTCACACAACTAAGAAGAGGAGAGTGGATTTCCTGCTTTAATCCAGCTTCTTACGAAAGGCACTGGATCCAGTTTGTCCAAAGGGGACTAATTAAGTCCTCAAACAGACGTGAAGACAGCCTGGCTTCATGCAACCTGTTGCAGCTCTGGCTGGCTGTGTCATTTACGGCAAACAAAATCATGTTTTGCGCTCACTGTTTATTCTATTTTTAATGCTTTTCAGTTTGAATAATAACAAGTGTTGAGCATTAGTAAGCGTTTAAAAGAGATGTTAGTGACAGTTGCAAATGACAAATATTTGTCTCTTGATTTTAGAGACCCCCCAAAATATTGCTATTGGTGAAAGGTGAGGAAGGGCACGCGTTAGGGGGTTACTGTTAAACTCTTGGATTAAGGAATCAATGCAGTCAACGGAACATCTGACTAGCAAAATAAGGTGAACATTTGTCTGTCTGTAATCGTTCAACAGGTCTGGACCTGAGGCACGCCCAGGTGGTGGCGTTATCCACGGGTACCAAGTGTATCAACGGGGAGTACCTGAGTGACCAGGGACAAGTGGTCAATGACTGTCACGCCGAAGTCACGGCCCGCAGAGCGCTTCTACGCTTCCTCTACTCTCAACTTGAACTCTTCTTAAGGTAATAGATCTATCTTCGGCTGCATCTTAAAGACACACAACCATCCTTCGAGTGCTCTACTTACATTTCCGGCAGCTTTGAAACCCCTGTAGCATTTAACATTCTCCTGAAACAGCCCGATAATGCTCACGCTAACTAGTTTATTGTTAGTCTTGAAGGCTTGCTCATTATTAATATCCCCTTCATCTTATACTTCTCTGCTGACCATTTACATGTGAACTGACTCGATATCACACAAAAGTACAACACAAAGGGAACATTTTAACTCTGGAGTTTGGCACATTTGTTATCTCACCAAATGTAAGAAGACGATTGGTCTAAACTCATCAAATGTATTTTAATAATAAACCAAAGTGAGGCTCCTACTGACAATAACTTTCACTATGAATCATTATCAAGCCAAAGTAGTTCAGTTTACAATCACAGGCGTTACTTAGATTATTTAAACAAGTAATTGATTATAAAAATAGTTTCCCATTTACTTTGTACCGATTGATTTATTTACTCATCTCAGCTTTAAAACAAAGTTGATATTGATCAGCCTTGTATGTAACTGTGCAGCTGCTACAGGTTAAACCATGATTATGTAGGTTATGATCACTTCAACCAGCGGTGGAAAAAGTAGGCTAATGGAGGCTAATTTTAGCAAATTGTAGATCGATATTGCAGATTCACAGACATCACTGGGTCAGTTAAATTACCTTTAGACTCCTCTCTACTTGTGACAATGTAATGCAATGTTTTAGCATTAACCGTTCAGAAATTACCATTCAAGTGTGAACCTCTTTAATGCTGGTCAAAAACATAAACAGGAATTAAAATTCCAGTATATGATATATACAGTATATAAGCATAGAATTGATTTGATCGGCTCTAACCCGATATCTGCTGTCAGCATCGGTGCTTCATACACCGATGGTTTCCAAGGTGCCTCCAAGTATTTTAACATGCAGTTCATTACATTTTCCATTACACTGTGCTTAACAGCATTAAATATCTTATTTGTTTGTGACCTTCCGCTTCAGTGCGGCACCAAAGAAAGCTCTCTCCTCTATAAAAATTGAGATTTTTCAATAACCAACGAGCTATATGGTGGCTGTTCTCTCCACGTAACCAAGCGTGCTATCACACACACAACTGGTTCAGCTCAGGGTCTCAACGGCCAATTTGTTTTTAGCACTTTTTTTTTTTTTATATGTACCTACATTGTGTGCTCTGGTGCACACAAGCTCACCAAGGTTTGAACCAGTATCAAGAGATGGCCTTGATGAGTTTCGACTCCTGAATTCCTCCAGTACATAAGCATATATTATGTTTTTGAGCTCCCGAAGGAACTCGATGGAAAGGCTGATTCATCAGATTAGTGGCTCCAAGTCTAGATCGTTGAATGTCATATTTGCATACACAGCACTGACTTTTTTTTGTCGTAGCACAATGCTGGGTGGCAGGTACAGAGACTTTGCAGCTCAGTAAAATGGCTAATGGGGAAGATAACTCATAATGAAATGACCAAACAAAATGCCACAACTGCCATATTTACGTTCGGTGAAAGGACATCGGAGACGGAGGAGAGGTTATATAAAGAGTGCAGCCGTGCTTTGCATTGTGATGCATAGTTTAAGTATACCGTGTGTGTGTGTGTGTGTGTGTGAGAGAGAGTGATGAAATCCTTATTCCTGCTCACAGCAGAAACAATGACCCAGATTTTAAAGTTAGATTATATGTGTCCTTGTCGCCCATAATGCAGGTATTCAGCTTATTGTTAATGGATGGAAAATAACTTTTCTAAACTTCTGGATAAGCTGTATTAAAAAAATCCCTAATATTTATATAGTTTTCAGACATCAGCTATATCGTTTTCTTGAATGTTAGTTTGATATTCAGCCATTATTTTAACCCAGCCAGTTCTTTTGTTGACCTTCATGGTGTCACTTTCACGTCTCCAATACAAAGCATGCGTTAAGACGGGCAGGTTAAACTCGCGCTCCCTCTTTCCCCTGAGACATGTGGACAGCCTGAGTAATATCCAGGAGTCTGGTGTGACAGCAGGAGAATGGACTGTGGTCAGAGAGCAGGCCAGTGTCCGTCTCTCTCTTCATCCCCGCCACACTTCATCATTGGAAACAAAAAGTGGAAATCTATTTCCGATGCTGTGATGAATGGTGCTACCTTTTCTCATCAGTCTCCGTGTTGTTGTGTTTTTTTTTTTTTGGTTCCTTTTCTCTTTCAGTAAAAGACCGGAGGACTGGGAGGAGTCGATATTTGTGCGGCACAAGGAGTGCGGCTACAGGTTGAGAGACAACGTCCATTTCCACATGTATATCAGCACCTCGCCGTGTGGGGACGGGAGGCTCAACTCGCCCTATGAAATCTCCACTGACTGTAAGACACCAGCTTCTTTTTTTCAAAACATAGGTTGACAATGCCCAAAAGAGATCAAAATAACACTTCTCTGTAGTGTAATCGCTGCCATTATCTCTACTATCACTCATGAGTCAGTCCCTCAGCTTTATAAAGAGATCATTTTCTCTGGCAGATTATTATGAAAGCCACTGCCCTGCTTTTTTCTTCCTCCAGACACTCTCAAGAAGCTGGCATCCTTTTCATGTCATATCCCGTCTTTGGCCCCTTTCAGCCACGCTGTGCTGACTAGATGACATTTTATTGCTTACCCACTGAAAATAAATTGCATATTCATTTAGATGGTTTGCCCAGCATTTTTTTCTGGTGGCCTACGAGTTCAGAAATGTAATCTGGACCGCCGTTTCCATCAGTGGAATGTATATATTCCCCCCC